TGCTCAAAACATGTATCCACAAACCAAAAGGCATATAGATGCATGGTCTTTGATTTAGGCATCTCCACTCATTCACACATCAGCAATGTACCACCCTAACTCCATTATCAATGCACAAAATGATATAGAGTGCTCAAATTATAGAGTTAAGCATATGAGAACTCCATAACATGAATACACGAGATGAACGGATGAAGCACATAGGTCCAAAGGAAATCAAACACATAGTACATACATGCACTGACAAGGCTTTGGACTAAAGATATCAGGGAAGGATGTAGTGGTGTAGAATGCCAAATGAGAAGTCATGTGAGTGAGAGCCATAATGATGATGGCGCGTGCAAGCAAAGGTAATAAAAAAGTGGCATGTATTGGTTGATATAGGGAAGCACACAATCAAGCATACATGGGCCGGGGTGGGTGACCTGAGAGGAGATGAAAGATGGAGGTAAAGAACCAGAGCTCAAGGTTTCGGTCCAATCGACAAAGATCAACGACATCAACTCCATTTTGCCGCAATTTGGGATGGTTGGGTTGGGTTATTTCCTAAATAGCTAATTCTAAAACTAGGGAAAACCAATATGTAACACTTTAGGCAAATTCCACATCGACAAAGCATGGAAGAGATCCATGGTTCATAAGTAAGAAACCGACCTTAACTGATAAGACGCGTTTTGAGGTGTAATGGAGGAGTTCTTGTGAGAACTCCGAAGTTAAAACGTGCTCAGTATAGAGTACAACAAGGATGGGTGAACTTATGGGAAGTCACCTTGAATTGCACTCAAAATCGAAATCCGCGCGGGTGTAGAGGCCCAAAGCGGACAGTATCTTGTCGGGAAAAGGTTCGGGATGTTACAAGTGGTATCAGAGCCTCTCCACGTCCCTCTTGAACGATGGTGGGGCAAACCTCAACGAGGGCGTTGAGTCCCGAGGGGGGGGGGTGTATGTAACACCTTAGGCAAATCCCAAATCGACAAAGCACGGGAGAGATCCATGGTTCATAAGTAAGAAACCGATCTTAACTGGCAAGACGCATTTTGGGGTGTAATGGAGGAGTTCTTGTGAGAACTCCGAAGTTAAACGTGCTTAGTGTGGAGTAAAACAAGGATGGGTGACCTTATGGGAAGTCACCTTGAATTGCACCCCAAGTCAAAATCCATGCGAGTGTCAAAATCCATGCGAGTGTAGAGGCCCAAAGCGGACAGTATCTTGTCGGGAAAAGGTTCGGGATGTTATACAATCACTCATTCAGTTAAGCACGAGAGATCGAAAAAAAAAGAGCTTAGGAATATCTTTTAGATTGTAGAAGTAACTCGTAGATCGTTCTTCTATGATCAAGTTGCTTGATGATTAGGGGCAACCTATAAATTTATGGTCGACCAACTTTATTGGAGATAACAACTTCTATTGCTACTCTTAAGAATTGAAGGACAAATCAGATCTATCTCTTTGAAATACTTTTCTTCATTGTTTTTAAGTTAGACACCAATCATGGGTTGCCACCCGAGAAGTGCTCTCTTTAATTCCTTTGAACTAGGCGAGGCCAGAGCGTTTTAGGTGTATGACTAATGCGGCTCAGCTGGACAATCATCTCCCCAATTGTTGAGGAGAGGTAGCTCGGGATATGGATACAAATTATTGACATGAACCAAAGGTGGTTCAGTGGTTCAATGGACACACCATCTCCTTGAATTGTCTTTTTCTTTTAGGCGACAACGAGTACGTTGTTGAATTCCCTAGAGTAGAATTCTTACTCCTTCCCCATAGTCGGGCATAGGAGTTTCCGAGGAGTCACAACTCGAGCCAATCATGGTAGGAATCAATTGTGCTTCACTTCCCTTTTTCTTGGCCTCGAGAGTGTTCATTTGTATGATATGATCTGCATGATCAATTCTCATCGTAAGTTGATTTTTACGAATATCGATCAATTCACAAGAAGTGGCCAAGAAAGGCCTCCCAAAGAAGATAGAGTAGTTCTTATCCCCTTCCGTCTCTAGTACCGCAAAGTCAGGAGGGAACAAAAAGGGTCCAATCTCGACTTTAACGTCTCTTGCCACACCCATTGGTCAACAAACTGTGTTGTCATCTAAAGATACATCCATGCATGGTTGTGTCCTCGAGTCATTTAATACCAAGCGTCTTAAGGACATAGAAGGCCTTAAGTTCTCATATTTCTTTCACTGGGTTAGGCATCCCAATGATAGCTTTCAATGTTGGTATGATAACTTCTTTTCCTCCCAGAACCGAGATGAACTCATTGAGGATGTTCTAATTATTTGAAGGACCAAATTTTTCTCAAGGAGGTGAGAAAAAGGCGCCCCTGCTGCCGAATTGAAGTATATTTTGGCCGAATTGACAGTTATTCGGTTAACTGAAAAATAACCGATAATCGACAATATGGTTGTGGTGAATCGACTAATACAAATGGTGCAATTAACAGTAAACAAATAACTGGCTAACTGATTATAATTATGACCTAATCAAATCGACTAAGAACGCTAAGCTCTGGTCATGATAGGATGGGTCAGGCGGTTGGTCTGGATTATTGCCAAGTATAGGTTTTGATTGATGGTGTTGTGAAGAATGGGTTGCACAGGGTTGGGAGTTGGTTTGGAAAGGTTATAGGGGTATAACTGCGCTATGGAGGAGCTATCATTTGATAGGATTTTGGATCCTTTTCTGGTAGAGCTTCTCGCACTTAGGGAGGCAATTCGATGGTGTGTGATACATGGTTTTACGAGGATGCCATTTTTTGGTGATGTGAAACATGCTATGGATAAAATTAGACATGTGAATCTCTTTAATGCGCGTGGTGGAGTTATTCTTGCGGATATATGAATGCTTCAAGGATATTTTAATTTTTTTTTTATGTCTGCTTAATTGGCCGAGATAATAACAAGGTTGTCCATTGGGCGAAATTGCCATTTATTTGTTCCCAAATTTATTGGAATTTGATTTGCCGTCCCGATTTAGGGTGTTTCGCTAACTGTCTGATATGATCTATTTTACTCAATGATGTGATGAGCATGGTTGTCATCATGTCGGTGTTATACTGCCCGGTCGAAGCTGGTTCAATAAGTGTCGGTCATAAAACTGGCATAAACACCATCAGTATGACAAACATTATCAATTTACGACCTCTAAGTAAAATTACGTTGTTTTAGTGAATTTAATTTATAAAAATTAATTTATTATTTACTTTATGAACTTAAAAGTTAAATGTTAATGTTATTAGTTGGATTCAAGTATGAATGTCTAGTAATTTACACTAAAATGTTGTATTTAAATATGAGTATTGATTATTTTAATTAAAATATTATATTATATTTTAATATGAATATTAATTGCAAGTTAATTGTCTTCAAATATGTTTTATATATATGATCAAATTCATTTGTTGTTAATGATTTTTCACATTTCTATATATTCTTTCAAATCGGTATGATCCGCGACACATATTAGTTGTAACATAGATTGAACCATTCCATTTAATAAACTCGTACTACGGTACAAACTCGTCGTTTGCAACCTGAGAAGAAGTAGGGTTGCAAAAAACCAATACCTACTACTCAGAATACGGACGAAGGGTAAAGTGGTGTTTGAGAGATGAGAATGAAAGGGAGAAAAGATTGAGGACCGAAAAAGGGGAGAGAAAAGTGACGTCTGATTTGAAGAGGGGGCGGTACGTGACACTCAACATAACCATTTATGGCAGCCCTACCATTAATACTGATGTGTTGTTTTGTTTTGTGTCCCTCTTGTGTTTGTTGGATTAGAAGGCAAAAAAGTAAAGCACATTAGTTTGTTTCTGGTTATTATATGAGGTGCTAAAAGAACAAATGCAGAACACAGCAGCAACATAATGAACGCACTTAGATTTACACTGCGTGCGAGAAGCTGACCTCCAGATTTGCAACGGTTCGTCCCTCATCACCATTGGGTATTTGGGTGAAGCTGAGAGATGCATCGAGATCATTAGTTGGAAGTGAACCCTAAAACCAGCTTTTGGGTGCCCCGAAATCACTTGGGAAATTGAATGCACCCACTTTGTTTGGCAAATAAAAACTGTTAAAACTGTGCACTACTCACTCACATAATCGCCTCGGCTGCAACAGTTGGTTTTATTGTCGTGCATCGATTAAAAAGAAAACAAGTTACACGGAAAAGGAGAAGCAAAGTAAAAACCCAAGAAAAAAAGAAAGGACATGTCATTGTTCTTCTGGGTTGCTGGTGATCGCACTTCTCATGGAGTGAAGAGCAAAAGGAGGGAGAGAGAGAGAGAGAGAGAGGCAACGGAAACCCTAACCCTAGGGTTACATCCACAGGAAAAACCTTTTTGGAAGAAGACCCCAAATCTGAAAATGGGTGCAGAGAGAGAGAGAGAGAGAGAGAGAGAGAGAGGAAGAGGGAGAGTAGTTGGTTCCGGGAAAGAAGGGGGTAGAGTGATGGCCATGGGGGGAGGAAACTATTGGGGGAACAGTGAAAGGCACAAACTCTTTTGGGAGACATCTCAATGAAAATGGTTCATCATCATCATCTCCATGTTTCAAGTACGTACAAATTAACTGCCCCATACATACACTCCCTAGCTCCCACTGTTTCTCCCCTTCGTCCCATGATTTTAAAGCTATTCATATTTTATCTGGTCTCTAGCTAGCTTCTGCTTCTGTTCCTCTTCTGCATATCAGCTTGAGAGAGAGAGAGAGAGAGAGAGAGAGAGAGAGAGAGAGAGAGGAGAGAGATGGGGTGGGTGACCCTGTTTTTTGGGCTTTATATATTTGTTGATCTGCTTAGACGGTAAATCTGTGGGTGGTTTTTCAATTTCTCTTTCCTGTTCTTGTGTATCCTTAGCCAAAGAGATTGGAGGAGTAGAAGTCAATGGCGGAGAGTAGTGAGAAGAACTGAGAAGGTATCTGCTGCTGCAACAGCAAGGCTTTACCCTTCCCTTCTCCACAATTTGCTTGGTCTTCCATCCTAGCTTTTTTTTTTTTTTTTTCTGTCAGAGATGTAGATGATGGATTTGGTAGTAGGGCTTCTTTTCTTTCTCCAGAACAGAGACAAGTAGAACGAAAGAAAGAAAGCAAGCAAGCGGGTTCTGTTTTGTTGGGGTGAAAAAAGTGGGGGAAGAAAACAAACAGGGAAAGTGAGGTAGAGATGATGAGTAAAAAAAAGAGTTAAAAAAAGTGAACAGAGAAGATAAAAGAGATCGAGGATGTTTTCGTCAACAAGCGATCCCTTTTCATATTCACCTTACAATAATAATAATAATAATAATAATTCCACCCCTCCCCCTCCACCTCACAATATTATTGCTGCTGCTGGTGGTGGTACTGATCCGTTTGAGCAGCAGCAGCTGCAGCTGTCCTGTTGTTCATCACCCACTCAAAATCTGCCATCTCCCAGCAGCCTCCGGATGATGTTTGACCATGATCATCATCAGTTGACGATCAACCCTGGTCACGGTACCGCTTTCAGAGACACCACCACCAACAGCAGCAACAGTTGTAGCAGTTTCCTCTGCCATCCCTATCCTCCCAACCACAACAATGCCAATTTCCCCTTCTTGTTGCCCACAGATCACCCTTACTATCTCAACAACCATCATCTTCAGGACGGAATCCCAGCTGAAAACTACAACAATATTGCACTAACTATGCAGCAGCAGCAGCAGCACAAGAGGAGGAGTAGTAGCCACACTAGTAGCAACAAGAACAAGGAGAGGCACAGCAAGATAGAGACAGCGGGCGGCGTGAGGGACAGAAGGGTGCGGCTGTCCATAGCCACCTCCAGGAAGTTCTTCGACCTGCAGGACATGCTTGGCTTCGACAAGCCTTCCAAGACCCTCGACTGGCTCCTCTCCAACTCCGCCGCGGCCATCCAGCGCCTCCACATCACCTCTCACCCTCACCCTCTTTACAACAACACCAACACTCCTCCTCCTCGTCCTCCTGCAGCCACAGAGGAGGTGGAGGAGACAAGTGTTAGTAGGAGGGCCAAGGCAAGGGCAAGAGCCAGGGACAGAACCAGCACCACCAGCTCCAGATCCAAGCAGCCTGCAGTTGTTGTGCCCACACCTCAGCCTACAGAAGCAACATTGCCACTACCTTCTCCACTTCAATACTACCACTACCACAACAACAACAACAACAACAATACTAGTACTAGCACTTGCAACAATTTTGGGGTTCTGCGTCAACAACAACCATACCTTTCCGGCATAGCCATTGGTGTTGGTTCAAGCTACTCAACGGAAATGATCCAAACAGCAGCACCAACAACAACCAGATCTACTACTACTACTGCTACCAACGACGATGGGCACTCGTCATTAAGGTTGATGAAGTGGGAGCTGCTCAAGCCAACGCCACAGTCCACAATCAAGCATCAAACACCGCATAATGCTCATCACAAGACTACTACAGCCACTTGGGACATGATGACCGATGCTGCTCCAACGGGTAATCCATTACCTTAATATCATCTCCATTCAACTTATAACACCAAATAGCTAGACTTGTTTCAAATCAATTCAAACATCCTAAATTCTTGCAGCGGGAATGCAAATGTCTTTGGAGGGAGACCTAAACAGTAGCGTCGCCCATTTCATCAACCCACCGTCAAGATTTCATTAATCTCCCTGTCTCTCTGTCTCTCTCTCTCTCTCTCTCGTAAGATCTAAATATGGGTATGTTATATAATCCACAAACTGAATGTATGAACCTAATAACTCTGTTACTAGATTCACTAATTCCTCCGCAATTAGTAGCCTGATAGCCAGCCAGACATTCTCCTGGGTAAACCCATGCACCTGCAGGCTGCAGCATCAATGTTGTTACTAATTTTGGGTGTCTTTTGGTATAAGATGGCTTTTTCATGCGCATTTATGTTGCAACTAGATACTAATGAATTTGGGAAGGCGATATATATACATATATATTGCATTGCTAGTCTTTCTCTTTTATCAGTTTCCCCTCCTTTCCCTTCTTGTACTTCCCTCTTGTGTTTTGTCTACTTCGCTAATGGTAACTAATTAAGTCAGACAACTTTGGAACCCAAGAGATTCGATGAATTTGCCGTTGGCATGATACCCACTATTAAGTACCCTTCCTTCCTTGCACATATATACTTTGTTTCCTCAACCTCTGATTTCGATCTAGGGATATGCATGAGCACAGAATTCCAAATCCAGGGCCTATATATATATATATATGTATAGCAAATCAACGACTCCTGATTACATGATTCTACCAAATTAAAGTTTATAAATACTCAAAGTTTAGCTGGGGGAAAACGACCTACATTTTGAAGAAAACCACCTCATTAATTAGCTACTAGCTCGGTCTTTGGTAGTTACATGATCAATTACCAAATACGTACATATAATCGCAATTTCTATATATATCCAACTTAGGTCAAATTACCGACGCATTGCCATGTCTATATACAACTTTCATCAGGTTGTGGCCGGATTAAGGGGTGTTTTAACTTATCTGTAATTCAAAATGCATAGACAATAACACTGCGGGTAACATTGCTTTGGAACATATATAGAGTTCAAGGGGTTTACAATTTAGATACAACTTGGAAATTCTGGTTTCTTGCAGTACGTGTGTGTCTGCCCACTGCTTAAAATAGATGAGAAAGCTGGATTCAAATGGAAAAGTGAACATATATATCCTGAACGGGTAGTTCGTAAAATTTTGGTTTGGTTCAAAACAAATTAAATAGAAGCTAATATTATCACTCATTTCCCCTCAAGTTGAATTATAATAAACCGAAATAAACTTTGATTCAGTCTGGTTGGTCAAAATTTAAATTGTCAAACCGATTGAACTGTGTGCACACCACCTCGGCTCCAATTGAGATGTGACCAGATCGATCGGGCCGGGTCAACCTGATCCAACGACAAATTACTGACTCAACCCTACAGGCTATAACTCATTAACCTATGAATTGATCAACCAATGACTCAGTAAACCAGAACCCGATAGCTAATCCAACTCCGACATAACTCGCCAGTTTCCCAGAAAATGAATACGCATAATCTGCGCAATTTCTCATTCACAAATTATAAATAAATTGAAGTTATGTTATTGCCTTATTGGCTCAGGCTTATGCAGGACGTTTTGAATTTATTTAAAAAAACGCATTTCGATTATCTTAGCACATTAACTATTCACTTTTAATTTACACATTCTTAATAAAATGAAAGCTAGGAACTATGCAGATACGTACACCCAAATAAATTAGATTGCAAGTCTCTATATATCATTTTCGATCGGTTCGCGTTTTCGTTTTCACCCCCCCCCCCCCCCCCCAACAATCCACATGTGAAAAGAGAGGCTGAAAACATGTTTAAGGGGTGCTTGCTTGACGATGGTTTGATGATAGGATTTTAATTTATTATTGACTTTTTTTCAAACTCTGTTGTTTGCTTCACTGTATTTACGGGCAACAAATTCGTGGGTCTCATGGAATTTAAGAGTCAAAATCTCTAACTCATCCCTCAAATCGTGTTGTTTTCAAAAATTGTTTCTTGTAGAATCATATAAGTTATTGTAATAATTCCATTTAAATGAGTCTACAACCAAATCTCACTAGTCTCACTTTTAACATATTTATCCCAACTCATCCCTGAAATCGTATTGTCAACATTAATTTCATATCCTTTTCTGTCTCAATATTTTCTTTTATAACTCCCATCATTTTTTTGACTTTCTCATTAGTCTCAACATCGATACTATACAAGGCCTAATGAGGTAACTAAACCCATAAAATTTTCATTCTCATGGTAGTGTAGTTATACCTTTATTGTCAAAACAATACTATACAACCACAATAGCAACATAATTGCAATAAATGTTCTTGGGTTTACGAACTCTTTTAGACTTGTGCAGGTGAGGTGACCCGATCCCCTACCAGCTTAGGGCCATCAGTAGTATTTGCCTAGAATTAACAACCAAGCAATATTAATTTCATGTCAAGTTAGCAGTACTCGAGCTAATGAGGAATGATCCATGTAAGGTCTCTCTCTATTAATATATATATGGAGACAGGCTGGCCTAATACTGTGTACTAGTTTAGGATCCCACCCACTATCAAACATAGCAAAGGACTGTATGACCCCAAAAAAAAAAAAAAAAAAACAAAAAACTTAGCAAAATAACAAACAATATGGGTGGTTGTAGTTACTACTTACTAGTCAAGGAAACTGTGAGCTTTGGCGGGATAAGGTTTACTGAGATCACCTTGTTCTTGAATTACTTGCTAGCTAGTATATTTTCACACGGAAGTGTTTGCTCCACTCCATATGATTCTGTAGACTGGTTTTCTATCCTTCACCTGGCAATGGATCTATACAAGTTTTCACTAATCTCCATTACTATGATGCTTTTTGGCCGGGAAGGTAACTAGAGAAAATCCGTTGGATTTGGCACAAAGCAGCTCTCTGAATCAGAGTACCAATTTACATAACCAACATTTGCTTTCATGCGTTAACGACTTAAAGTTGAAAAACTATTCGTTACAAATTATAAATCATTGTTAATTTGTTACCATATACAAACATTAAAAGTATTTCGTATACGGTTGATAATTCAGATGTAAAGTCAAGTCAACTAAAATCAGATCTCATTTTGGTAGAGAAGGATACGCATCTGGAAAGTTTACGCCTGACCCTGAGTGACAACAACCGGGCCGGGCCGTTGCTCTAAGCCCAATTAATGCATCCAAATATATATGAATGAAGCTTTAGATACGTACGTGACGTGAGTGCTAGGTACGTTCTGTGAACTTCGGCTTTGCTGGAGTTATCTACGATTTCCAATGTTACTCTACTTTATTATTAATATATCATTATTACGTTGATTTTACTTTTAGGCGAGTCTATTTTAATTTCCAATCTTACCTAGTATCATAATAGTAAGGATTTCTTTTAATGTGGGACCGACGTAAAAAAAAAATATATATATAAAATAAACTATATTAATATTTAAATCACACGCAAAGTGTTTTTATAGTTTGTTGACTGATTTTCGTTCGAGGGTAGAGAATTCTATACTAAAACATAAATTAGAAGACATAATTAACCAAGGCGCAATTCTATGTAAATCTATCGTTATTTACATATTACACAAGGTTAAAAGTGGTATGAGATTAAAAGTGATATGGGTGTGCAACTACAACGGTAAACTCAAGGAGATAAATCGCAGTCCAATTGTACGTGAAAGACGTCTTAGAACCATGCAGACCGGACCAACCGTGTATTGTTAAAAGTGGTAGTAAACATTGAGAGTTTATAAAGATAGAATTAATGAGTTCCACTAAAAAAATTCGTTGTTATTTTATTATTTCATTATTATATTATTATCCTCTGTAGAATAATTTTGCTACGATTACTTAGTGTCGTCTTAATTTGCAGAAGCTTCTTCCATTTCCAAGGCAAACATCGAATCATTTGCAGAAGTTTCTTCCATTTCCAAAGCATACATTGATCGCCCGGCCATCACGGCGTACTCCTAAACTGTCTCAATTCGTACCCTTTTGTCTCCACTTTACCCCGACAAAAGTTATGGCTCCATCTCTTCTGAAGCTAATCGTTGTCGATATTGCTTCTTCTCTTATATAAATTCTTTCTAAGAAGAAGAAGAAGAAAAAAACGATTTGGTTAAGAGAACTTTATTGCCTTTGATTTAATCTGACCCGCTGGGTAGGTTTAGACACGTACATATTTCCTTTAATAAGCTCATGTATAATAATATACATTTACTTTAATAAAATATCCAATCAAGTAGTCATTTATCAAATTATTGATTATTCGACTCCGTAATTTATTTATTACGTATTTGAGCAAATATGTTGGGCTAAAAAGTCTTTCAGTAGTTACAGCTGTAAAATATATAGATTAGTGTTGAAGAATCCACACACCTGATATCGTCAAGAGCGCCAGTCCACCACCTTATTACATGAGTTCATCGTTCATCACCAGCCAGCAGGCAACAATAAAGCTTAGCTTGAATGGGAACCCTAACCTGCAGAACCAAGACAATGATATGAATCTGTGTTGTCAGAACAAGCTAGCTTCTGCAAAATCAAATGCCATGCTCGCCCATCCTTTGTATGTGAAATTAACGAGGCTCTTTCCTTCAGTTTCGCTCAGTGAAAACATAACAGATGGATTCAGAAAGAAAGCCAAATCCAGCTGTGTCCAAATATATATATATTTACGTACTGGAGATGGAACCATGCATACATATATATAGCAGTCAGAGATCAGAATTAGGAGAGGAAACACAGAGACCGTGAATACACTTAAACCCAATACCTTTGCTCCTTCTGAACAGCTTGCTCAAGAGTCAAGAAGAAGAAGAAGAGAAGAAGTGAAGAATGAGATTTGAGTACCGAAGGGAAGTGGGCAGCAGAGTGTATCGGCGAGTGTTCCAGTAGTAGTACTACTCTAATTGTAGCCGCTAGCCAAAGCTTTTCGATCAATGTATATTCTCCCTAAAAGGGCAATATTTGGCTGCTACCCTGGTTGTAGCGGCTTCCTGCAACATTGAAAAATCGTATTGGAGGTTGTATCGAAAAAGTTAGTGGCAGAGTATTTTATGTTGAAACCATTGTTAAACCATTTTATATTGCTAAATACCATCAACCGGTTTTGCTTCCGGTAGGAGGTTTTTCTGATCGAACTGTAGTACGATATAGTTTTTTGATCCTTTGATTGAACTGAATTTTTTTTTATTGAGTTGTGTATTCTTCATATTTACTTAGATGAAAAGGTTACATAGAAAAAAAATTGATTGAGATTTACAAAATTATATCAATTTTCCATAAATTTCATAAAAGCCTTTTCAGCACAATATATATTAGTATGGCAATAGCATCTATATCACTACTGTATATTTTATATCATCGTAGTCTAATCGTACAATCATTGTCTATTTTCGTTATACTGTAGTATGG